CAGGATACTTTGCAGCCCTGGGCTATGCTGCTTGCTTCAGTGGAGCAGGGACTGCCTATCCCCTCTGCTCCTTATCCTGCATCCTGCCAGTGTCTGTCAGCCCATGGGGACCCCCAGACCACTCTATCCAGGGTCTACATAGCACATGGTGGAAGTGAAAGTTCCTGTGGTGGGGGATTTTCAGCCCCTGGCAGCCCTCTCCCCCCCCCCCCCCCCCCCCTCCACTCAGAGACCTCTTCCCCCTCTCTTCCCCTTCTTCTCCTTCCCTTCACAGGTGTCCTTTTTTTTGAAACTGGAAAAATGGTAACCCAAGGTAAACTTCTCATGTAGATGCTCCCAAGGACAACTTTAAAACACACAGTGGAAGAATCTCCTAGCTCTGTGCTTTGTCCTGTTTGTCAAATAGGCAGCTGAATACAGAGAGTGAAATAAAATGTTCTATGTCAGGGCAGACAAAATTCAGCCTGCAGGCCAGATCCAGCCTGCCAGAAACTTTCATTCAGCTCATGGGCACCCTCCAATTAACTGTACACTGTCCAGCCCTTCCACCCATAAGGGTGGGAGTGCAGGGCCCATATATATACACCCCCCCCGCAATATACCCTATTGCACCTCACTCCCACCATTGTGGGTAGAAGGGCCTGGCCCCACCAACATGTAGCTCCTGGGTGGGGCTGCAGCTCTTGAGGACCAACTTGGCCTTCCTGGCCTCCCGCTCACTCCAGGCAGCAGGTAGGGAAGTAGCAGAGATGGGGATCTGCAGCTGGGCAGGAGCAGGGAGTGTGGGGATGGAGGCAGCACGGAACCCATGCCCAGCGGGGCGGTGAGAGTGCGGAGCTCAGGTGGGCAGGGTGTGGGTATGAGGGATCATGGTGGGGTGTGAGGACTGTCTATACCCTCTCCCCCATGGCATACAGCCCCCACCAGTGACAGCAGGAGCATCTGCAGTTGGTGGGCGCATGTGCCTGGAGCAGGTACTGCTGCCCAGCAGCATGTGGCTCCAGTCAGGGTTGCATGCAGAGGTGAGGAGTGGAGCCTGACTGGCTGTCTCTATCACAGGAGCTCAACAAGGCACTCGTGCAACTACTGGCACTTGCATGGTATCGGGGGAAGCCCTGCACTGTAGCTGGTTGCCTTCCCTGCCCCCTGATGTGCAGATTCTGGGGCTCCACTGGAAGTGGAGGGGATCCCTAAACCCTGCTTTCCCACGGAGTCCTGGGACCTGCGTGGCACAGGATGGGGAAGTTTGCCGGCCCCAGCCCATGGGGCTTCCCCCGAGTGCCACATGAATGCCAGCAGATGCATGTGTGCCACATGGAGCCCTCGCAATAGAGGTGGGTTGCACTCCTTCATATGAAGGAAGGTTGCCTGTGTAGGCAGAATCCGATCCTGGTCACTAAATTGAAACTCATGAGTAAACCTCCTAATGACTTCACTGAGGTGGACAGTGTCCTGGCTGTACCCAGGCTGTGAAAATGTGTAACCTTACATATTAATGCTAAAAATATGCATACATTACAGATTCAGATGACTGGTCAGTTCTGTCCAAAATCCAGAAATAGCTAATACGTCGATCTTCACATGAAGAAGGCCAGGTGAGTTGCACTCCTCGTCCCCATGTACAGCACTGGCTGGAGCTGCATGCTGCTGGGCAGCATCTCCTGAGCTGGGCACAAGTGCCCTTCACCTGTTGTGGTCCTCCTGCCACTGGTGGGCGCTATGTGGCATGGGAGGAGGATGTGGGGGATCCCCACACCCTGCCACAATCCCTCACACCCAACAAAAGTCACGCACCCACATCCTGCTCCCCAAAACCTCCCCTATAAAGCCCCCCAATATACCCTATTTCCCCCCCACACATACCCACTCACCTCCAAACCCTACCATACACATACCCCCACCCCCAACCATACCCCACATTCTCCACACAATATACAGGAGTAAGACTTTATTTTTGAGCTGTTATGCAATCATATCTATATACACTATGCAAACACAAATCTTGACAAAAATGTTTTTTGTAATAAAATTAAAATATATTATAATAAGTGTTTGACTTTTAGTGTATGGTTTAGATTTTTTCTGGTTCCGAGATGGCAACACCCCCCACTCCAAAAAGGAGTATTTCCAGGGTAAAAGGGTGGGACTTCCAACAGCAAAGACCAGGGGTTAGGGCCAGGACTTCTGGTCTCAAGATGGCAGCCAGAGGGTGGTGCAACAGGGCAGGGCTACCCATGCAGCTCTTGACAGCTCACCAAAACTCACTAACCGGCCCTCCAGGTGAAATAATTCCCCACACCTGGGTTAGACAGACACCCAACTGGGATGATTTAATTAGGGTTGATCCTGCCTTGAGCAGGGAACTGGGCTCACTAGATGACTTCATGAGGTTCCTTCCAGCTCTACTTTCCTACAATCCTCTGAATTATGGTAGGACCTATCAACACCTCTAAACCTCAGAATAAAGGCCTCACGTCTGAGTTTCTACCTTCTTCTTCAAATATACATCCATCCCCTGCCAGCTCATTTCCCCTTCCTCTTTCCTGGACCTGTCCACCTACTCCTGCCTCCTGGTTACAATGGCAATCACATGTTCTGGCCAGGACATCTAGGGAATGCTCCACCCCCCCTAGCCATGCCCACTTGTTCCAAATTTTAAAATACACTAGTGAGACACTCTTCTGTGTCTACTCTCCAGACCTCAGTCTCTGCTATGCTTTAGAACGATACCCGAGGGTAATACCAGAAAGGCTTCAGCAGTGTATTTATAGGTTTTGTCCATGTCAGTAAGAGTGGATGGGATTTTCTTGGGAGAATGCTCCACCCACCCTAGCCATGCCCACTTGTTCCAAATTTTAAAATACACTAGTGAGACACTCTTCTGTGTCTACTCTCCAGACCTCAGTCTCTGCTATGCTTTAGAACGATACCCGAGGGTAATACCAGAAAGGCTTCAGCAGTGTATTTATAGGTTTTGTCCATGTCAGTAAGAGTGGATGGGATTTTCTTGGGAAGAGATCAGGTTGAGCAGGCTGAGACTACCATGTAGACATCCCCTTAGTGTTTTTATAGTACCTGAAAGGCTGAACTGAGAGTTGCAAAACAGCTCCAATTACAGACTTCAATGCAATTCAGTTCAATAATCTGGCTCCTTCTATACTAATGCTGACCAAGACCAGTATACATAACCCAAAGAAACAAACACTATTATATACAAATATTTTTTTTATTGTACAGTAACAATTAGATAGTCAATAAATAGTCAAAATATAATAACATAAATTAAAACTGTACATTATTACTTTTTTAGTACTTTAAATAGCATTTTTCAAGGACCACATCTTTTTGTGACTCAGACACGCAGGAGATGCTGCATAATACTTATTAAAATTTACTAATGAAAAGGCATCTGTGATGCATATGAACTAGAATTCTATTCATTTTGTATCATGAAACCTTTCTATTAACAATTAAACCAAGCATTGATCTTCATTATACGAATAACTTTCCTGGTCTTGGTGTCAATCTCATACTGATTTGATCCATGGAAAAAATAGAAATATCCTAGAAATATAAAGGAGATGAATAAGTTATATAGCACCAAGGAATGTTCAGCCTCTTTCTGCAAATATTATTACAAGCAAAATTTAACATCTTCTCATAGAGAAACATACTTGGTCATTTTCATGATTTTTTTTAAACTATAGGAATGAATTTTTTCCTGTATATCCACTGGCCTTAAATAGTTATTTTTTGTATTTACCATTTTCCTGAAAGGCAGCATCCACTTTGTGACCAACTCTTCGAAAGTCGACTGATATCTTTCGTGGATATCCCTTTTCCATAGACTGCGTGATCTCATTATAGCTGAACAAAGAAAATAAATAACCATGGGGAGTCCAATATTGAATCTATTGAAATATACAATTAGTAAGCCTGTTCCCAGCTTACTAAACTCACTGTCCACAAAACTACTGAACTGCGTTCGTCCTTGCTGGACAAATGTTTACCTCTTTACCAATCTATGCACAACTGACTTTGGCTCTCCTGACTAATTAACTTGTATTTTTTTTATCTGATACCTATGTAAGGAGTGGCATGCCAGTCCCGGTCCCAAAGATATGTATACTAATGTTTTCCCTTCTGCACTGGAGTATTCCTTAGAACTACTCACACATTTAAAGCTAAGCACCTGTGTTTATAGGAAGGAGTATTGGTGAGTATTTATTTAACTGAGGTGTTTCACTGAAGTAGCCATTAGTTTCACAATAAACACCTATATTTAATAATATTTTAATGATTTCACTAAAAAATAATTAAGAGGAGCCTCCCTCATGTCTCTTCATTAAAATATTAAAATAGATACAAAATTAGTAGTTGGAAAACAGTGTTTATTTATTTCCCAAAAAAACCTGGGAGTGTTTAGCACTTCTGAAACTCATGCCACAGGAAAGCTGCAGCACACTGAAGTTTGTTCTGCCCATGACCCCACAGTGTCTAGTTATTGAGAGAGAAGGAAGAGCTGGCCTTCCACAGCCACTATTGGCTAGGGAGCTGATTCTCTCTGGGCATGTCTACATATGCTCTTAGTCCACAGCAATAAACTCTAGCACCTATCACACCAGTTTATTGCTCCCAGGTGCTGACTTTGAACATGCACCCAGGACTGCAGTTTGCTGAGCCAGGTCAGAGCAGCCTGCATTGAAGCACCCTCGTGCCCCAGCCAGCCTCGTCAACATCTATATATGTGTTGCTGCACATGAAAAATCTCTGCAGCAGGATAATACTTGTATTTATAAGTACTATCCTGCTGTGGAATTTATTAGTTCCCTGTACCTTAATAGGGCTGCATGTGTAGACGCTGAGACATTTACGGTGGAGCTAATTGGGCAAATCCACAGTAAATATCTTGTATAGATGTGCCTTCTGTTACCACCAGTCCTGGCACTGGGGGAGAACACTACAACTTAGGGTGTGGCACTGTCCCAATGGAAGGGAATGCTTTAATCTAGGAGACTGGAAGAGAAATCAAGCCAATCTGATGCTGAAGGCGCTAGAGTTCTCTTAATCATCATAGGCAAGCCCTGTACTCTAATTTACATTTCTGCGTGATGATACTGGGGTTAGATCTGTGCTGATAAAGGTATCAGGCTAGGTCTATGCATGGAAGCATAGGTTACTAAAGGGTACTGAAATGGCCAGGTTGCTGAGTATGCCTCTGCTCTCCTGAAGGATTGGATTTGTTCAGCTCTCTGATAGACATGTACTTCTGGCAGTAAAGGGAAGTATTTATACACCTGAAATGGGGAAACCTGTGTTTTAAGGGAAAAGAGAATAGGTTACAAGACATGATGTTCCACTTTAGATAGCAAAAAAATTGCCAAAGTTGTAAAGCCCTAATGCGGTCTTAAAGGAGCTACCTGGAATCTTGGCTTAAGGAGAAAATGTAATCTTACCTCCAGTATTGATAATCTACAAAGAAGTACGTTCTTTTGGTATTATGATCATACACTGCTGCATCAATTTTCTTCACATGCTTGGAAAAGCCCAAGGTATGGATGTTCTTAGGGAAACCTGGTTGTATATCATATCCCCTAATAGCCCAGTATTGGTTGCCTGTCAGGAAAAGGATGTTGAAATTTTAATAGTGATATTTGCTGAAATTAAAAAGCATTCAGTTAACAGTCCTGGAACTTTGCAATTATACTTTCCTCTCTGAGGTGAGTCTCATTATTTAGTGAAGGATTATCCAGGTTTCAAGAGGTTTTATTTTTCCTGCCACGTGAGCTGTGAGTGTTCAGCACTTTTAAAAATAGTCCTACTTATTTAAGTGTTTAAATATGGATTTAACTGACTGTCCACACACTTTTAGCACAATATGTAACTGATCTCCATCATCTTAAAACTATCATACAATCTCATTGATCTAATACACTTATTTTATCGCTCAGGCAAGTTGGTTACTTGGTTTAATTTTGATTAATTGGCTAATAACAGTAAAATAGCACATTGAAAATGCCAAATTATATAACAATAACAATTATAATGACTTCAATAGAAATAACTATTTGAATTTTACAAGTAGGAAGAATTTCTAGAAATTTAAGGTGTGTACCTTTAAATAGAAACACTCGATCCTTCTTGTCAATTTCATAAGCAGCATCAAAGCCAGACGGCAGAGTTGGCCACAATGAAGAGACTAAATCACGCTCAATGCCTGGGAAGTGAGGACTCTTGCGCCAGACATAGCTGATTGGACAGAACATTTGGATATTTATGTAATCCTGTTTCACCAAGGGACCATTGGCAGAAAAAAATAATTTATCATTCCTATTACATGAGTTGTACATTTGTGCACTGGCGGAAAATGCTGGCTATGTCCCCAGCCACAGTTCAAAATTACCCTTAATACCTTAACTGACATTTGGTGCTTTTTCAACATAAGTCCTTGAGGCCCTTTTGTCCCTATACTCCTGGATATCAGTCTGGCACAGAGAAGGACTGGAATCTCTGTAATACACTATGTGAGGAAATATTGCCTTTTCTCCCATGGAACTGCATTGTTTCCCACTGATGAAAAGCACCAGTTGTTTGATAAGGAGCAACAATCCTGAGCTGCATAGATAGATTTAATAGATTTCTAGGGTCAGAAGGGACCTTGTAAGATCATCGAGTCCGACCCGCAGGAAAGAGCGCTAGACTTAAATAACCCCAGCTAGGTGCCTTTCTAATCTTTTCTTGAACACCTCCAAGGTAGGGGAAAGCACCACCTCCCTTTAAAGCCCATTTCATATTTTGGCAACCCTCACCATAAAGAATTTCTTCCTGATATCCAGTCTAAATTTACTCTCCTTTAGTTTGCGGCCATTACTTCTAGTAACCCCGAGGGGCGCCCTGATAAACAGAGTATCCCCTATTCCCTGCTGACCCCCCCCCCGATGAGTTTGTCGGCAGCCACAAGATCACCTCTCAGCCTTCTCTTGCGGAGGCTGAAGAGATTCAGGTCCCTCAGTCTGTCTTCATAGGATCTTACCCGAAGGCCCTCAACCATACGAGTAGCCCTCCTCTGAACCCTCTCAAGGTTATCCACATCCCTCTTGAAGTGCAGCACCCAAAACTGGATGCAGTACTCCAACTGCGGCCTCACTAATGCCGCATAGAAGGAAGTAATTTCCCTAGACCTGCTCATGATGCACCTACTAATGCAAGAAAGAGTGCAGTTAGCTTTACTTATTACCTCATCACATTGGCAACTCATGCTCATTTTTGCTTCGACCAAAAACATTTTTTGCATGTTTGGGAAAAGTTTAAATATCACTTTTCACCTGAAAAGACGGGGGAATTTATATAGGCAGAGTGCTGTTACCAAAGATGGCACTGAACCAAAACCCTTTTGTCTTGCCAGAAGTGAAACTGCATCTTAATGGCTGTAATCTGCAAGGTATCTGAGTACATTAAAAAAGAGGGCACCTCTGACAACGGAGTGTCTCCTAGGGCTACTTCAGTGCCTATTCCTAACTAAGAATGTCACTGAGTGAACCGCCCTTGCTTTCTGTGGCACCTTTGCTTTCCCTTTATGTTTCTCATCCAGGTACCGCCCTGGCCTGAAAAGAACATTGTGAGGTGCAGCTCCTGACCAGAGGCTGACATTGATTATTCAGACTTGCACAACTTTAACAAATCAGTATGATGATTGACAGTGGCTTGCTTATACAGTTCTGCTCACCTGTTAGGAAACCCCATTATGCACCAAGCTGCAGTGGGGCAGGAGACATTTGTAAGATTTTTTTTTAAAAGCATTTGAAAGGACCTATTCTCCTTTGTATTGCTTGGGAAATTAAATTCTCTGAACTCTTTTTTGCTACCCTGTGATTACAAGATCAACTTAAGCATAAAAATGTCATCAGAGAAATTACTTACCTGTCTTTAAAGAAGAGTGTTTCCCCACGGAGAGTGGTGACAGCATCAAAAGTCAAGTGAGGGTCACATATGCCTGTTGTTGATGTTTCTGTTGTCTGTTCTCTGGGGTTTGTGGACACTGAAGGCTCAGTAGAGGAGTGTGTTGGGGGTCCTTAGGGAAGAGGTAAACAACATGAAGATTTTGAAGCTGGATTAATATGTGATATTGCAGTCAGAGAAATACTGTCTGCTGTAGGAGAACTTCATCAGTCTACTTTAAGTATTTCTATGATCCTCCCCTACTATCTGAGTACCCCACAGTCTGTAATTCTGATAACCCTCTTTCAGGGTAAGAAGAAATTTTTGCATCCTTTTTACAGATATAAAACTGAGCCACAAAGAGGTAACCTGTGAACTTGCGCAAGATAACGAATTGTCTGGCAAAGCAGGAAGGTGAACATGGGCCTTCCGAGTCCTCAGCTAGACCGTAAATTCTGAACTATCAGCCCTCACTGCCTTCTACCTGAAGCCATTAAAATTATGCCCATTGAGGTATGGCATAATATTTTCAAGCCATGTCTTAAAAAAATATATGTTAATACTTGTGGTATTAGTGATGCCTAGAGTCCAACTGGCTTTGCAAGTGTTGTTTTTTTGGCATGAAGATGGATCTTTATTATATACAAGTCTACACAACTGACTAGTACAGCTAACTAGTTCAGGTGTATGTATGGTGAGTCACAGTGTTACCAATTTCTCACTCCTTAGGTATCCAATGGACACAACAAAGGAGCACTGCCAATATGTGTAAATGAGAATGAGAACTGCCATTGTGGCTAACTTCAGTTTACCAGCAGAAAGGAAGGAGGGACCATACTCACTACCAGTAGCAAATCCTGGAACATGGCAAGGGGGATGCAGACCCTTGCTTTGGCTGTGCCATGCAGACACAATGAGCAATTAGTTCACTGACTGGTCAGCGTGAGCTTCAAGTAGTGAGCTAACTGACCGTGGTGGGGTCTGGCCAGAACATATGCTTTCACAGGGCTCCAGAGTCTAGGGAGTGAATGTTGCTGCTGTTTGCCCTTCTCTGTCCTCTGCTTCCCTAATGAATATAGCAGCATGGGAAAGGAAGAGCCAAATGGTGGCAGCAGCACCCACACTCTGGACTCCAAGTCTGCATGAAAGCAGGAGCTCCAGGCTGGTTCTGTGCAGAGAGAGCTCAGCAAAAGATGGGTACAGTTGTGCTGTCTCAGTCCCTCTGGAACTGCCCTTCTCCTACACTATTTGCATACACTGCCACCACCTAGGTCTTATTTTAAAATTGGTTTTAATGCTAATGAAATCTTTGTCGGCTTCTTGCAAGAAGATTTAGTAAAAGGTCACGATTCAGCTTACCATATAAGTTCTGAATGCCACTGATATCATCTTGAGAAAGTCTGTAGTCTCTGGGATCCCTGTATACATAAACTGGATACATTAAGGAACCAGGTATCTTGGAATGATCGAGCCCCAATGAGTGGCCAAACTCATGTGCAGCAACAAGAAACAGGTTGTATGCTGAAAAACAGTATAATGACAGCAGATTAAGTAAATAATCCAGTATAATGATGGGAAATACATGTTAGCTCATTCCACAGAATTCATGTATTATATTTACTGTAAAGCACTACAATTTAAGTACTTCCAAAAGGTAAAAGGCTGTGCATGACATACATAAGTGTACTATGCAAAAACATTGCTAGCATGACCAGTTAGAGTCAAATTGTTACTTATTTTCCCTAAATAAATATTTTATGATACCAGATATTAAAGCAACTTTTCATAAAGCAGAAAGATGAATATTTATGAATAATCAAGATTTATTTAATTTGTAAGTCCCAGGTTCTCTGCTTCCAAGGAAACGTTATACATTTCACTGGCACAACAGCCTCAGTCTTTGAATTGAGTTCTGTGGAATCATAATGACTTATCACTGGTGGAAATAAAGTATCTAGTTGCAGACTGCAGGTTTAGACCCATTATAGGTAGTTATTACTAAACTACACTATTTTTGGAGCACTTATGTTTTTACAGTGGAATCAAGCAAACATCCCAGCTCTAACAAGTAGATAAAAATTATGTACTGGTTCTTTAAATCAAATGTTATGTACCCATAACTGCTCATGAAATGCTAAGTATCACTTACAGCTAGAATCTTTTGTCCAGGTTTCATCCTCGTCAAAGTGTGCATCTCCACCAATGCCATAGCCAGGTGGGTAGGCATGAGCCAGAGTCCCACCAGGACCATCAAAGGAATAGAAGTCTCCATGATCTGGAAAAGCACAAGTAAAATAGTATCCTTTTCAATTAGGTCAATAAAAAAGATCAATTCTTATCATGAATATGCAACAGTTCTCTTACATCCAGATGCAAAGGATATCCTTATATCTGCATCAGTGCCATTAACCCTGGTGAATGTCAATGGGGTCACGTTGCTCCAGACTTTGAAAGCTTTCTCGATGGCTGCCTCTATATCAACTGGTGCCAGGTCTGGTGTATAGTTTTCAATCCTTGAAAACACAGAATAAGTAAGTAAGGTAACTGCAATGAGATGAAATGCAACAAGCAAGATATGTAACGGTGTCAGCCTCCAACGTTTTGCTAGTTTGCTGCCCATGTATTAGTGTTTGTATAGCCTATCTTTTAAAAATTATCTGTTTGGAAAATGGTCTGCATCTTCCTCTGTTTGTTTAGTACAATAGAACTGCAATTTTGACCGGGGATATTATGTAAGAGATCATAAGGTCAAAGTATGATAAGAATAAATAATAAACATTTCAGTAGTCATTTTTATGCAGATCACAGTGATCCCCACTGTTAATCAAGCAAACATACTAAAATATTACCTATATTTCAAATTTTGTGTTTTCCATTTTGGAGACATGGGAAAGGTGCTGTACTGTCTAACATCAGGTATTCCACACCTGGGCTGCATCATCACTTCCACAGTCTTGAAATTCAAATCCCCAGTTACTTCCAGTCCATAGAATGCCTGCATTTCTCGGATTTTTTCAGTCACAGGATTGAGACTCTTCCTTTTAAAGGCAGGTCTTTCCTCTTTTCCAAGGTTGAAGAATTTTTGCAGATATTTCTAATGGGGAAAAGTCCATATTTAAGGCATTAATATTTCTTTTAGAATATACACAATGTTATCAATAGCTATATAGTTTTTCCTGTGACCTCAATACACTAACATACTCATTTTGCCCATGAAATTAATTCACATGTACTATCACAGGTAATTCACTAGAATCATTACCTTAGCAAGCAGCAGATCTTCATTTTCCTTTTCTGTTTCTGGAGCAATTGGAAAGGCATAAGCAAATGCTACATATAGTAACATGAGGAATGGAAAGCTCTTCATTTTCAGCTTCAGTTCTTTATTCTATGTGTAGTTTAACTAAACCTCTTGATTTCTCCCTCCTCTATTCATGTCTCTCCCCTGCCCTGTGTATATATATTCACTTGTGTACTCTGTTGAGTCCTCAGTAGTATGACTCACAGATTCTGACATCTGATTTTCCACAGAAATTAGAAAACATTTATTTTAGCAAGGGTGACACACGACAGATAACTTGGTCTGAAAAACCCTGATTGTGCAATATTTCTAAACAGTGACCTGACTACTTTCATACGCTTATGAATTTGATGCAAATATTCATATTTGAATTTACACATGTAAATCCATATCTAGGCACCAGTAAGAAATGGTTCTGACTTTTGGACATGCTATAAGCCTGCAAGTCCCACTAAGGTACATCCATTTCCTCTTACCCATGATATGAGTTTTGTAGGAGCCTTTTTTTAACACCCTTCCCCCTTTCTCTGTCTATGGCATAGAAGGGGCAGATCACCCACCCATTACATTTTCTAACAATCCTCTCCCTTGCTCTTTCTTCTTCTGACTGATTTCAGAAACAGGGTGCAGACAGAAGTGCAGCTCCCAGCTGTAACTCAGAACAGTTTTTGCAAAGTGTTCTGAGTTACAACCTTACCCCACACCAAACAGAAGTTCACTGTTGGTTTGGGGGTGGGGGAGGGAGGGACATGAGGAATCTAGCTGGGGCTGAGAGCCCACAGCCAGGTTCCCATTGCAACAGCCAGGCCTCTGCCAGTGCTCGCTGTTTTCAGAATGGAGGGAAAGGCAGTGGAGGGAGCTCATTCTTGGGGCTTCCCAGGTAGTGCTGAAGGAGGGGGTGGTGAATTGGAGCACTGGGTGGGGGGGAGGGGAGGCTGAAAACCCCCCAGACTGAACTCTCTCCGCTCCCTTTTCCCACTCCCATTCTGAAAACTGAGACAGGCTGGGAGCTCCACAAACACAAGTTACAAAAGATGCTACATTTTGTAACATCTTTATCTGATACCTCATACAATGAGGGATCATATTATGATATAATATCATAATATGATATTATTATCATATTATCATATTATATTATTATTATCATATTATCACGCAGCTATACACTTGTGTTTGGTGACAGCTATAAAGTGCTTTCTGTGGCCAGATCAGGCAAAAATTGTCTCTTCTGTCTGCATCCATAATGAACACTGAGCCAATGTAGCTCTGTGTGTATGACCAGCACTTACAGACAGTTTGGGACAAAGTTGTGTGGGGTTTGAGAAGAGTCTGCCTCCAAGGCCCAAGAATGACTACAAGAACAAACTCTGGTGGCCTCTCTAAACCAAAGTCTAGATTAGGCTGACCTGGCTCATTTTGTGGCCGTTGTAATAATGGATTTACGGTGCTATTCCCATGCTCACCCCTACTCAGTGGGTGTGTCTACACATTCATTAATACATTTTTGCTACACATTAATTTACTACCTCTAATCTGAGATACTAAATAAATGCACATTAGGCTGTCCTAATGTGCAGTAGCAAAAGCACACACTTTTTAAATGTTACCTAATTCACAGTAGCCTATTTTTACTGTGCATTAACATACTAACATGGTTTTTGATGTGATGTTTTAATGCGCAGTAAAATAGGCTACTGCACATTAAAGTGCACATGTATACATACTCACTCTGTACCCCTCATTGTTGCTTATTGGACACTCTGTGAAAGGGTATTCAGCAAAGCACCATCTAAATATATGCTTATCCACATGGGTTCAAAGGGAGTTCCTACCTGTAGAAGAAAGGGCAGGATTCACCCACAATAAGTTTAGTGAAGAAATCCCCTCAGCATACCCAGGATGTTATTTTCAAACATGTCTAATAAGGTCAAATCAAGGCCAGTTTCCTTTGGATCAACGCCATGCCCTCATCCTCAGGGCAGGTTTCAGACTGCAGATCTCAGCTACTGTGGTGATTTGGTTGTTTTTAAAAGGTCGCTGGAATTTGCAAACCCTGAAAAAGTGGTTTCTTTTCCTTTTTCATGTGTTAAATTATGTGCAGCTCAAGTGTCCTCTCCCACTCTCTACTTCTAAAATCATGGCTGGGCATAAACCAACCATGGGAATTTTCTGCTTCAAAAAGTGAAAGTTTGAAGTAAGCAACTAAAGAGTAGGCAGAATAAGCATATTTTGCAGTCTTGGCTGAAGCTCAATGAACCATATACAAAAAAGAACTTAGGTGTGTAATGTGGGACTTAAGTGGAATGTAGGCACCTAAGTCCAAAATTGCTATTCTGAAGGCCCCACTTTGCTTCTGCACATATGAGGCACATCAGCTCCATAGGCATCTCTGTTTTTTACTTTGAAGATCTTCAGGGGCTTAAAGTTCTGCTTCAGTCCCTGTCCAAGAACACCTTGGGCTTGACAGGGCACAGCAGTTCATTGCCTTGCCTTAGCCTTTTGGACACCCAGAAAAGCAATATTTCTCTCCTATAACTGTGGTCTAAAAAGACTCATTGCTCACTTACAGGGTTAAGATCGACATAAAATGCAGTGGCAGCCTTTACTTTCTCTTAAAATCAAACAGGGGAAGGGAGATTAGGCTCCTCTCAAAATGTACTGACTGCTTTTCCTTTCTTTAGAAACAAGGTTTAGGGAGCTATTAAGGGTCATTAATATAATAGTTAAGCGGTTGATGCATATATTGAGAAAATGGGAGAGACAGGTTCAAATTCTCTCGCAACCTGAGGGTATTCAAACCTTTCAACATGCCCTTGCTGCATGACTCTTGTACAGGGTGCAGGACATAGTCTAAATTTTCTTTTGAAGATGTTCAGGTTTGGCAGAAAAAAATGGAGATTGCTTATGTCAGAGAAAATGCAAAGAGCAAGCATGATATTAAGAATATTTCAGTATTATTGCACATATTATACAAATAATATTTCTTTTGAGGATCCAATTCTTAGGTGCATAACTAATCTTATATCTTATATAGGGTGTAATGAGTTGAGGCTCAGCTGAGGCAAATCCAGTCCCAGGCCCCATTGGGGCATAATTAGGAAATCTGGCTGAGTCAGGGATCAACACTCACTGTCTTACATAAGATCAAACCAGACAGGAGCAATCTGTCGGGGCAACAGATCGTCTTATGCCTCTGCCCTGCTTGGAATTCTTTAGCTTCGGGCTTGTGACTCCATGTCCTGAGCCATTGGCTTAAATCCTCCTGTCTGCCTGTGCTTGCTCTTGTTTGTGATTGCTCCTTTCCTGTCTTGGACTTCCCAACCCAAGTCAGCTCCTTGCACTGAACACAATTTCTTCTCATTCTTTGACTTGCTATCTTGGACTGACACACATCTTGACCTTGGTTCACACTCCAATAAACCCATGATCTAGTACGATGCCCTTGGACAGACCTCCTAAGCCCCAGTCAAACCTTAAATAGTGTACCGAGGCAACTTACTTTGGGTTTTGGGTTCTGTTAGGTGGTTAGGTGCCACCATGCTTAACACTGCCTGACTTTTTATGGATTTAGCCAGGGCTGAGGTTATAAGAACACACAGCATATCTATAGTAGTCCTGATTTAAACATGGGCTTCCATATGATCCAGGCATGTGCCCTAACCATTCAGCTGTCTTTCCATTCAATATCCTTGCTTGCTGCTGGTATGCCATATTTCTCCAATCTAATTCTCATTTTTGAGATGTAAAAACATCATGTTTAGTTAAATGTCAAAGAGAGCATTTTTTCTGGAGATCACTGAAATTCCATCCTAGCTGAACATTGTGCGCTTCTTCATTTCAAATATTTGAAATTTCATCCAGAAGTATCATGGCAAATGTGCTTGGACATTTTGACTTGTGGCATGAAGGAAGGGAAGGATACACTTATACAGTCACAGGCAGTCAACTAAACATTTATAATGGACTGCATATAGAGATGCACATTAGGTTAAGAGTGTTTAAAAGTAGCTAAGAGCATGTTTACTCTGGTTCCACCTCCAGGCATGATTCAGAGATACAACATCATCTCTTCCCCTTCACATCCCTAAAGCACCATCCTAGAGTCTGTCTTGAGCAAAGAACTAAAAGGCCAGTTCAAGGATGACAGACATGGCACATTCTCTTCATGGTGTAGAAATAGTGGCGTATGTGAGAGTAGCAATATAGGTGAGAGTTGGTCTCAGTACATGTGCTCTGGAGCGTGTGTGTGAGTGGGGGTGTTGGTGTATTTTAATTAGAGCAGCTCTTGGGAGCCACTCTAATTAAAATACCCACAGTGTCTTGTGTATTCAGCCTTCCTGCTTAATGGCAAAATGGTGCCATTCGGCAAAATGGCAATGAGGGTGATTTAACTAAAGCTCATTGCTTTAACCAAAGTGACACCAAGGCTGCAGGAGCTCCCATTAAAATGCTCCAACGCATTTTAATAGCATGCTTGTTCTGATTAGAACGCATCAGAGCAGGCATTGTATTCCCACTTACTGGTCTCTGTAGGCATGGCCAGAACGACTACAAACTGGTTGCAGGAAGAGACACAGACCTACCCTGTCTTTGAGCCAGAATCATTAGTAACGTCTGTAGCCAGGTTGGCATGAGGCACACTGCATATTTATCTGGACCTCACAGTTCTCTCTCTATATAGTTCATCATTGAAGTTATGCTTTTGTGTAGGGGGAGATAGTCTACTACTTTCCTCTCTAGTTTCCTTGAAGTAGAAATTATAGCAAGTAGGAATTTTTTGCTAAATTGATTTTTCATAGGCAGATGCCAATTTGTTGCTACTGATGTATTTCCTGGGCACATTTGCACATTCTGATTTCAGGAAATCTTTTATGAGAAATATTTCCTAAGTTAAGAAATAAATGACTAGTCAAAACCAGTGAGAATAAGAACTGTGAAGACCTAGCAGTTTAGGAGTAATGGAAAATAGGAATATAAGAGGTACCAACTAGATCACATCAGAGGTCCATCTAGCCTAGTATCCTGTCCCCAACAGTGACAGAAGTGGATGCTATACAAGGACA